TTAGCTTATATAGTACAATTTATAGAAATCTGCTTTTGTTTTGGGCTGTTTTATCATTCTTTGTATTCTATTCTTTTGAACAGCGTTATACATTGATCATAAAAATAGTTAATAATGAAGAATGTTGATCTGATTGTATTTTGTATGTTACAGTTGTGATTGTTTGTCATTTTTTCTTGTTGGATATCTACTTTTTATTTCTCTTTCATGAATAGTTCATCTTTCATTATCTGAATTCCTTGTAGTATTACTATTGTTATTGTTATTGTTAAAATTAATAGTTGAAGCTGTGTACTTTGAATGTGTTTATGAGTTTCGTCGTTTTTTTGTTAACTTCTACAGATCATGTATTACTGTTCAGAAAGGATTAACTGGTGATACATCTCTAACATGGTAGAGTTACATTGATTGTCATTTTTGCAAAATAAATTTTATTTTTAGTGATAGTAAAGGTTTATTCAAAACTGGGAATCAATTTTCCTCTAATGAATGGCAAAAAGTAATGATTGATTTGCCACCGACAAATACAGATTATAAGGTATGATGAACAGAGTTGGGGTTTGATATTTTCATTATCATATCTATTGTGTTGTTAGCTAAAGGAATACATTATTATAGTAATTTAAAAGTTTGACTCAATTACATAATCTGAGACATACTTGCCAGACAGCTCGATTGTACTGACACAAAAATACCGAATAGGTAAAAATCTTTTTTTTTCAGGGCTTATTTTAGTCCTATTCTATAACAAAAGGACAAAAGTCTTCTTGTGACAATCACAGGGGAATAAGTCCAACTAATATAGTATCTAAAATATTGGCCTCAATAATACTACGACGCTTAACGAAAGCTCGTAAAGAGCAGACTAGATAAAACCAGGCTGGTTTTCTAGGTAAGGATGGCAAATCAATAGATGAAGCATCGAAACTTCATCAGTTGAGGTGGTTGGGACATGTGTTACGTATGCCCAACCACCGACTGCCGCGACGAGCTATGTTTTGTGGTGTAGGAGTAGGTTGGAAGAAAGTTAGGGGCGGCCAGACCAAAACATGGCAGAAATCCATGAAGTCACTGAAAAGTGGACTGAGTCATGTTGGTAGATGTAGGCTATCTGGTTGGGGTCCGCGAGACGAAAGTCACCAATAGTTAGATACCTTGAACGACATGGCTCAGAATCGTTTGCAACGGCGCTGGTGATTACACTCTCTGTGTGCTTTTTAATTCTAACCTTCTGAATTCCTCATAATCTCTTTCTCCTTCTAAATTTATCTCACTGATTCATACTTTTCGAATTATATCTTCGCTCCCTAATCTTCTCCATTACTGCTAATCCTTCTATTATCGCTATCACTCTTTGATTTGAACTAACAGTTGCGTCTCTGTGCTGATGTGGTATGCTAACCTGAACTGATGTACTTATGTACGAAGTTCTGCGTTGTATCTGTCTGTCTGACTATATTTTAGTCGATTGTGTCTATTTTCACTCATTGATAAATCACAACTTTTATTGAGTGAATGCATCATTTGTGTGAATTTGTAAATATCTGCTTCATTCTTAATGGGACCGCATTACACAAACATTGATTATTCCTTGTTCTCATAAAAATCTACTTAGTGTAAGATTATTTTATTTTGGTTTTATCTTTTACATGGATTAGTATATTATAACTGTGTTATTTGCAACGAAAATTGCTCTTTTTTTGAGGATTTATTTAGTTGTATTCACAGTATTTTTTCTGAATAATAATTTTAAAGCATAACTATATTCCCTAATTCATTGAGAATCGAATACTCTTGATACGTTGAACCCTGTCAAATAAAACCATGCTCTCTAGAGTTTACACGTTGACTAATTATTTTCACAAATGATTAGCAAACATTGAATAGTTTTCTTCTTTATTATTTGTTAGAGTGAGCTCATCAACTATAGTGTTTTGTCTTCAGGTTTTTTACACATATATATATTGTTACAGGTAGTGATATCACTTAGGTATTTAAATCTCAGAATAGTTTGATTATGTTTTCCTATTCTCACGGTTCCTAATGATCAAAGGTTTGCTGTTAATAATTTCAATACAATGTTTTTATTTCACAGTATAAATCACTTTTTTTTCTCATGTTGTTATTTGTACACGCCTATATCATTTTGTTATCACCTACTCGATTAACCGGAAAAATTTCATAAGAGGTAGTTTTTTTTATCAATAGTAATATAATTTCTCTACGGCATTGTTAAATTCAATTTCTTATAGTTTGATTTTGATCTACTCTAATTGTAGTTTATAATAATTTATTTTGGGGCAGAGTTTTTGGAGTTTTGTGTTTTTACTCATTTGAAATCGTCAATCAGTTATGGTTAGACCACCATTAGAAACCTGGAAGCACTGGACGGTCGTTTCGTCCTGGTATGGGACTCATCAGCAGTGCGCATCCACGACTCCTGCTCCTCGCAGGATCCGAACCCGGGACCTTCGGTATTGCGCACGAACGCCTAACCATTGGACCACTGGGCCGGCATCCAACGCACTGCTGATAAGTCTCATATCAGGACGAAACGGCCGTCCACTGCTTCCAGGTTTCTAATGGTGGTCTAACAATGACTGATTGATGATTTCAAATAATTTATTTCCATAGTGCGCCTTTTTTATCTGCTTGTATGAATCGAATGTATGAATTGTTGTTTTGTTAGGTGAGAGGATTATGAATTGACGTCTATGGTTGATGTCTTTTTTCATACTTCCCTTTTTTCACTCTTCATACTCTTGAATCGTTTTACCTTTGAATTAATTCGTAAAATTGTATCCATAATTTTATTCCACCCTTCTAACATACCATATTATATGTAATGTAGATCTTGTAAACCATCGCTTGATCCAGAGACTAGACAATTCGGCATGTTTTGGTATGTTTTTTTGTATACATTTATATATATGTATCTAGTGGCAATGAGAAATTATGGAGTTCATCTAATAACAAACAATTTATGCGCACAACAACACAATGGTTGACAGTTTTAGTGAATTTAAATTCAACTAATCAAGATTTCAAGGTAGAGTATTTTTTTTTAATGACTGATAATTATTCAAAACTTCTATCTTTTTATCTGCCTAAATTCATTTCTTCCCTATCTTCTCATTGTCTTGTTAGTTTGCTTTACTTTATTTTTAATACACATTTTCTCACATATCGACTCTTTCCTAACGATTTTAACTAAGAACTTTAGGTGAATGATTGTAGTGTTACTAGTATTTTCATTATACATTGAAAATGTTGCTTATTTGTTTTTTTATGTAGATTCTGAGTAAACTGATAGTCTGTTTACATGATTAAGTTTTAAAAAATCCCTCTTTGAGTATTCAACACTTTTACGAATAATATGTTATTTAGTCAGTTTTATCACGGTTTATATGATATTGACACAACTATTTTCATATTCATCCCTTATCTATAATTCTTACTTAATATGAAAAAGAATACTTATGGTTTTTTTTTAATTGCATCCGATTACTGTTTTGAACAATGGTTTAGTTAATAAAACACCTAGTTTATAACATTTAAATCCTACTACACAAACTTTGGTTAGGGTTAGCTGGGTAGTATTTGCAGCTGTCATGTATAGTGTAGCTCCTCAAACCGAATGTAAAAGTTTGAATTTAATTAGGTTACTATTATTATTATTATTATTCATGTTATTACCTTTATTAAGTTATTGTTTCAGGTTAATAAGTTAATTTTTTGTTTCATTTGACAACTTTCATATACTGATGCGATGTTTTCAGTCACTGATGTATTTGTGTTGATAATACTAGATTCATTATTTCACACATTAGTAAAAATGGAATTCCTAGAAATTAAACATGACATTGTTCTGTTACTCGTCTGCATCATTTACATTGTGTTAACGTCCTTCAATGCCTACTAGAAGATTGCGTCTGTTAGATAATCATTAAAATATTTTATGTCTGAAAACTTATCTTTAATTACGTAAACTATATTATCTTACGTATATTGACTAATCACTAAAAAGTGGTCAATGTTGTATTTGTCTAGCCTCATAGTAATAATGTACTCATGTTGCAATTTCATGCTACTTACCACTCTTTAACAAGTTACCAAGCCTTACGACTGACTGGCTAACACTGGTTCAGATCCCATGAAGTGTATCAGTTCTCTCAGTATCACAAATACATCTTAATGACAAGTGCCAACTTGTAAGAAACGTTGCCTGTTGGATTACCTCCGACCAGCTAACTAGTCAATCGTTAACCACCCAATCCAAAATATCAGTGGTCTAATATAATAACTGCAATCTGTTGCAGTTACAATCTGTTGATCTTTTGTTTAAAAACCTCCTTGTCAAATCTTCACTCTCTAGCCATTTAGTATTAATACAATTCATAAGGGTGGATATTTTGGTACTTAAGAAATCGCTTTTCGAATCCATCTGTGATTATTTGAGCAGGTATGTGAACAAACCTGGCAATATATATATATATATATGCCACTCAAAGTACCTGAAATGAAAATAAACTGTTAGATTGTATAAAAGGTTACAAATGTATGGTTACATTTATCGTGAGGCTTAGTTTATCCTAAATGATAACATAAAATAATACTCCCATCATTGTGTTTGTAACTATTTATAAATCATATCAAATTCTTAGATAATTCAAGTTACTTATTTTATCACTTAATAGCAATAAAATAGTATTCAAAGAGGAAAATTTACTTTCCGATAATATCATTCACATAAGCTCATATCAGACAACTAAAATTACTTACTAATAAACAACTTGAATAAATGATTTCATCGGAAAATAAATTTTCTTCACTAAAATATAATTTTAAATCATATCTGTTGATAGTGAGAAATATTTTCTCTATAGGAAAATGTAATAAAAAGATTTGATATTAATGATAAACTATTTGAGTAACTTTAAAAACAATCTGTACTTACTAAATAATACATTTTTTTCCCTGAATTTCTTTTTGTTTTTTAGCTGATATTAGAAGGTACCATTCCTGCTGGTTATCCAGATGCTAGAATCTGTGTTGATAATATTACCTCTTATACTGAACCATGTAGTGGTAGGTGATTTAATGTGGAATTATTTTGCAAGATAACATTTTTTTTTCATTGTAATGTCGTAGTATATTATGATCGTAATTTTCTTCACGGAACTATTCTATGTCGTCTGCATTTTGTATTTGTAAATAAATCAACTGTCTATGTTGTTTAGAAAGACATCATTTATTACATTATTGTTAAATTGTTTTACTAGACTGACACTTAAACCACTCAGTTAATCAGTCCCACGATACTCGAATAATGCTTCGGAGACATCAATGATCGAAAATCAGCAACCTACGAATAAATTCTACTCTGACTGACTGTTTCGCAGCCATAAAGTAGGATGGAGCGAACTACTGAGCTGTACACTCATCCTTTAGTCAGCAAACGGATATCTCGCCTACGCTATAAGTGACGCAGATTGGCAAAAGCCAACCGAGCTTTCTGTATCCGTGCTGAGATTTCGTCACACACCAGGCCATCAGCGCTGATGAGACTCCTTAGATAAGTGAAGCAGTGAACACGCTCACTAGTTCAGTTGCTGACACAAGCCAAACCTGAAGCAACATATTGCATTTTAAGGGGTAGAATCGCATCCCAAACATGCTTGCATTGTTACTTAGGGTAGTCAGAAGACTGCATTTTTTCAGCGTCTTAACCAAGCAGATTGTTGGTCGACCTTTTGCAACCCCTTCCTTCCTTGTGAGAAGGTAGCATCGCTTCAGATGCTGGTTGTCCAAGGGAAACACCTACGGCTGTCGCACCTCTCTTCAGTCAGCAGTACGACTTCGCCCTCACCGTTATCCAGTCGACCTGCTTGGCATGATAGGACCTAAAGGAACATATGTTGCATCCTATATAGCCCGGTTCGGTCATCACGATAGGCAAGTCCGTCCACCAGGTCAAGGTAGCAGTTACAGTCGAACTGACAATTATTTACAGCTCTATCGTGCTGTATATTGTCATAGAATCTCATGCTCGTCCACATAACATATTGTATTGCTAATATTACCATTTCGAACTGTAATTGAGTCACTATTTGGAAAATCATTTTTTTACAAACTGCTTTTAAAAAAGATCTGCAAATACTACTGCATTTCTTCTGTAAGTAATAAGTTTTTACGAAGATACCATTATTTCGGAAGCACAAAACAATTAAATTTAATTTTAGTGCCTAATAAAGGCTATAAGTATAGAATAACCTTATCTTTTCTGAAATTTCTTGCTGCTTCATATACTTCAAACCTATTTATTCTAATGTCAAACGTCAAAATTATTAGCCTCGACAAATTTAGGACACTGAAAAGGTTGATCTTATCATCGTAATTGCGAGTAAATAATCATAAAGATCAACCTCGAATGATTTTCAGTTTTAAGTTATTTTGTTTTAGAAATTAATTCGTTCATTGGTTCACTATATGAATAATCTTCTATTGATCTAACTAAATGATATCTTTACAATTGTTATTTTTTTTAAATAAAATGTTTTCTTATATCTGTACTTTTTTCCATGTGTTAGCTTTGGAGAAAGCATCTGCACCATTGCCAAGTCAATGGAGTTGGGCACAATACTTTGGCTTTACATTTGTTGGTGCTTTAATCTTAGGTTTATTAATACCTGTGTTGTTTTTGGTTATTCTGATTTGGGCTTGTCGTCGGCGTCATCATGCAACGCATTCAAACTATACAAATAATAAATTATTTTCAACAAATTTATGGTATTACATCGGGGGCAAAGAAATGTGTAATGATCCAAATGGTTTTCGTGGTAGTTCAAGTTTATTACGTTCAAAACAGTTCAACTCACCTTCGGCAACTGGTACTTTATTAAATAGTGGTGGTGGGCATCATATGATGTTAAGTAATGCTGACGTAATGGATTTGCCTGATGTAGTTGTACCCGGTGGACGTGTAATAGCTTTCAATTATTCTGGAAATACTTTAGGCGGCAATACCCTCCGTCATAATCAAAATAATACTGGATATACTAACACAAATTATTTACCAAATGTACAAAATGGTCAGATTATGCCAACAAATGCCAATGCGACAATTTCATCAAATAGTTGTGGAACAAATGTCACTACTGTTGCACGTACTTGTCCAAATCCAATGCCGTTAGTATCAAATGAACAGTTACAAGGTCAACAACAAGGTGAAGCTTACAATTACCAAACTAATCCAGTTTTCGGGGGTATGTCGTGACTACAAACAGAAACTATTTTTTGATTGGATACCGATTAAATTTTTAGATTCTTCCTACCTATTTTAAAGCTTGTTATCCTCTGTGAGATTTTACCTCACTCAGGAAACTTGACTCTTAGGTTATTCTTCTGCATATTTCTTTTTCATTCATGTCGGTCATTGATTAACGATCACAGTTTCCATCCATTCATATTAGACAATAGTTGCTGGTAGTCAAAAGAAAATCTTGGAACTAGGTTCCGTGCTGTTTGGCGCTATATACCAAACTGTATGTGTATTTTTTTGAAGGAACTGATGCTCCCTGCCCTTTTCTATCTTATGTCAACTAGGTTTACAGTTAGAAATGTTACCCCTGAACTATCCCGACTGTGACTGACCTTTTGTAGATCTGTGATGTATTCACAATTGATTGGCCACTAATTAGTAACTACTGCTATTTATGTTAATGCTTCTTGGAGCTGATCGATAAAATGCAATCAACAATAGAAAGGACTCGATATACATAACTGTGGTTACTGTTCAGTGATCGACCAGTCGAAAAACGTATCCTAATATTTATGATTCGATATTATGTCCCATTGATATCATATAATAACTACTTCACTTGTTTTTGATGTTTCTTTACTTATAAATTATTATTCAGAATCTGCTTCTATGGCAATGATGACAGTTAGTCAATCTCCTATGCTGATGACACAATCGATGGCACCAAATTACGGCTCTGAATCAAATAATATTGCTCAGTCGAATTTGTTTAACGTGAGTAAAAAAAAGTGTTTTTTTTCGGACCTCTAAAGAGAGATGATTGGAAAATTGTATCACTCGCATGAAAGATTTCAGTGATGCTATATTCTTCTTCAAGGCAGGTGATTTCAGTCGTAAAAGAATAAGAAATGATGACATCTGAAAATAATTTGAGCCTTTGAAAATAATCATCGCTAGCTATTTATTCACTGAAACTATCACACGCTAACCGATGTACATAAGTACTAGGTTATAAATTACGTTTAATTGACGCTGTATAATAGTTAGTATAATCTGTGTATTGCTAGCTGTTCAGTCATAGTATTTGAAATACCTAAGTTGTTGTGATGATAACACTCAGAATTTCGTAGATATATTTATATCACTGACTTTTTTGATGAGAGAGTATTCGAACTTGATCTGTGAAGGCAACTAAATCATATTTAAGACATTAACTCACTGATAATATTGGATGACGATTGCACTTCTACTCAAATTGCTTGAAGTTCGAAATGAAGAAAACTACATATCGAACCAAATAGCCTAAGTATGTCATTTTAGAGCTCAAAGGGTTTTTGACTCAATCCCATACGTAGTTGTACGAGATCATTTCTTCGGAGAACTGGTTGTGCATTGCTTTCAATTTTTTTTCACTGCCTTCCAAGCCAATATGAGACTTTGATTCTGTTGCTTATTTATTACTGAGTTATAACCATGGTGTAGGTATTATTTGTCGTGTTTGGTGTAAGTAGGGAAATGATAAACGAGATTTATTATAAATCTGCTTTGTTGTCGAATCTTTTTGATTATGGGGTATTGTAATCAGTAAACCACAAAAATAAATAATTTTTCCTTAAATTTTTAACCGATTAAAAGATTGTTATCGAATAATTATTTTTGAATTTCCCTTTACTTAGAATAATGCTCAACAAATAAACCAGTTAAATCCTAATAGTCAAGTATACAATAAACCAGTAATACCAACATCAACTCAGCAACAACAACAACAACCACAACAACCACGTGCACAATCTCAATATTTCCCTCCGACTCAGCAACTTCAAGCTAATTTGATTCAACCACAACCGCAAACAACTCAACCATTTCAACAACAATCATCGAACTTTCCGAATCAAAATCAACTTCAACAGCAACAACAACAACAACAACCACAACAACAGTTAGCAACTACTCAAGCACCTGTTTCTAATCAGTTCTATCCACAACAGCAACAACCACAACCACAACAACAACAACAGCAGTTTCCATTGCCACCACCACCTTCGACATGTCCATTACAACAGATGAATACTCAACAGACTCCAAATTTACCATCTCTAACACAACAACAAACTCAACCTGTTTTATTGGTTCAACAATCGGTTAGCCATCAGTATCCATTTCAATCACAACCACAATCTCAACCACAGCAACAACAACAACAACAACAACCACAACCAATGTTGACTGATCAACGTGGACAACAAATAGTGAATGGACTAATACCAACATCCGTTGCTGCTATTGCTATTGCTACTACAGTCCCACTTGTTACATCACAACCAACTTATCAAACACCAATTCAACAACCATGCAGTATTATCACTGTAAACACTGGCAATCATCATAATCTGACTAATGGACATGCATTGACAACAATACCAACAAATCGTTGTTTATCCATGTCACCGAATTCCATTGGTACTACTGATTCATTGACTGAAGCGGATCAACAAGTAGCTATGGCTTTGTTAGCTGCTGCTACTGAAGGTATGGATTCATTTCGAGAGAATCAAACAACAACAACAACAACACCGATTAGTTTACAATCTCCAGTACCAATAATTATTAATAATATGAATGGATTAGATGCATGTCTCAATAATCATAGTAATAATAATAATAATAATAGTAACACTAATAATAGTAATAATAATAATAATAACAATAGCAATAGCAATAATAATAATGCACAAGTACCAGTTGATGAAGATAATCCACCACCAGGCTATGATGAAGCTATTGGTTTGATACAAACTAATTTTATCAACAATGTGAACATGGCAATGATGATGAATACAATGATTAAACCAGCTGTACCTATACCAAGCACTACTTGTACACCACCGCCAGCATTACCACCACGTCGAATTATCAATGGAGTCGGTTTAGAAGAGGATATTGACGATCCACAATCAATGACAGCTTGTTTATCATTAGCTGAACGTTATGGTCTACCAGTAGCGGAAATTTAAAAATTAAAACCTGAATGGCTTGACTTGGCTTGGGCCTGATGATATTCAAATTCTATAGGAAATCAATGGATATAATATATGTAACAGTCATTCATCTATCTATATTATAGTTATTGTTGTTGTGTTGGCTTGATTTCTCATCTCATCCTTTTATTATTATTATTATTGTTGTTCCCTGCTTACTTCATGTTCAGTAATAATATTCGTTGTTCTTCGTTACCTTCATTATTATTAATATTATTAGTATTATTATTATCATTAGTAATCATGACTAAAATTATCTCCATTTTCTGCATGCTTTTATTATGTCTATTCTTAAATATTTCATCTCATCAAAATTTTAATATATATTTATTTTTTACTCATTGCTTTGCTTATATTCTCAAATGATTTTACATTTTTTTTCTTTGTCGTTGCTGTTTCTCATTTAGTAAGGAGTTAGTTTATATATCGGATCATGTTATTATTGATATAAAGAAATTAGGACATTTTTCAATCATAGCAGATTCATTTTGCTGCTGCTGTTACACTGTCTATTATTGTTATTGTGACTATTGAACACTGTAGGTTTTGTTTTGTTTTTAAATCTTCTCACTCATTAATAATATTTGTGTGTGTGTTGTTCATTTTCATCACACTGTCATCTGCACGCATGCTTATGCATTAAAATCGATTGATTGATTGATTGATTGATTTTTTTTCACAATTTACATTCTCCTATTAAATGGTGAGAAAATTTGCAATCAAATTCAAGCATTTTACTCCTCTAACCATTCACTATGAGGAATATCAGTAGAGAGAGAAGATATACATGCACGTTTGTTTATGTGTATATGTTGATGATGATGATGTAAGGGTGTGAGTCATTGTCAACTACATTAATCTAGTGAAAATTGATTACGCGTCAACAAGTCAACATTTCTTTTTTTATGGAAAATTCACTCAAATCTTTAATTTTAAATTCCTTCTTTCCCTTGTTATATGCCGTATTTGCTTCATTCATAGTTGTTATATTTGTGAAGGGTGTCATTTCGGACTACTGTGCGCAGTTTTATTTCTTCATTTGTTAGCTTTACCAAACTTGTTGGTTATTTTCGTGTTTACTTTCGTTTTAATCTATTCCTTTTTTTTTATTTGTGAAAGTGTTTTATTGACAATGTCAGAATAACTAACTCTCCACTCCAGATAAAATAAATAGAGGAGCGTTAAGATATTTATTATATGATCATTGGTTAGCAGAAATGTTTTATGCTGATTATTTGAAAGTGCTACTGACTGAATTGTCTTCTTTTTGCTTCTCAATCGCAATACATTTATCTTATGATTAATTTATACGTGCAGCTTAGTTGTTGATTTTGATTACGACTACTAAATCATTTGGGTTTTTTTTTTCATTTCCTTTATGTTTTATCTTTATTTCAATTGTATTTGCATTATCATAATATTGTCATGTTGTCTGTCATTTTAACTACTTATTAACGATTAATCAGTGTATTGCCATTTTGTCATGCCTACGTCTGTTGCTTCAATAAATGTTCATCATAACCTTTTCTTCTAAAATGTTTATGATTATATTTTTAACTACTTAAAACATATTTAAGTAGTTGATCGTTTTGCTGTGTTTGTACAAAGAGACAGTGTGACTAGTTATTTTAAGGACACCTTAATCTCATCATAGTTAACAGTCGAAAAATGCGTTGATTTTTTAGTCCACCCTCATATAAACAAGACAATTGATACTAAGTTCACTATAACTATAAGTTTGATTGAGGTTTCCTAAACCTAATCTCAGATTTTGATATTCTGGCGTTAAAATTATTAAACAGGCAGTAGAGAGTGTTCCTCAACATTAGGTCTAGTCACCAATGTCTCTTATTTGTTTTCGGAAATATTTAAAAACTGTTGATAAATTTTACGGGGGATTCAACCTATTGATCTGGAATAGCTTAGAGCAATTGTTTGGCTTTTTCCGGTAGAATTTCATGATAGAGTTCGTCTCTGAAATACTCCAGTGTATTACTCGTTAGTTCATCTTTGTCTGAACCACGTCGAGAAAGCCTTGTATATAACCTATTTTCATTCCTACTGCATATCTAAAGCACTTACATGTACAATTACTGGTATCACAAATATCAAGTCCTTCGTGGTAATCTAATAAGTTTTGTACACAAACATAACTGTCGAAAACCATGTATAGTAACTGTAGAAAAACTAGGTATACATCTCTAATCTTTGGGAATATAACATTACAAACACATAAAACTTCAAATAGTTATGACTCATTTATTCGATCGCATATTATTTCAAATAATGTGCATTCATCAAAATTCTAGGCAGTTAATCGAAATGCAGATGAATAAAAGTTTTTTTCTATTTAAACTTTGACATCATTCTATGATATTATTGAATTAGAATGCCTTTTATTAAATACTTGACATTTATTGACAATATTTCAATATACGTCTAAACATTTAGGTGTGGTCATTCAAAATCTTGATTTATAGAATAGCAATTTTTATTCTTAAGTTGTACTTTTGGTTGTGTTTCATTATTTGAGCTGGATAGTTTAATTGTGAAGCGTTCATTGTTTACCTAAACAGCATCATCAGCATAAAATTTTGCAGAGAGAACGGAAATGCACCAAAATCATCTACTTGAGCTACACATCTTCATCACTTTAAGTTGTACTTCATACTCAGCAACGTTAAGTGGACTGGAACTAAAACCTATAAAGTTTTTGATGTGAGTCTTTTAATCAGAGTATATCGTCTATGAATCTCCTAGTTTTTACTTTCTATTTAGTCAAGCTTACTTCCAGTGAAGGGAAGATATTGTTGTTACATAGCTCTGATATCTTGTATAATGTGTCAATCATAAACGATCTGAAACATGAAACACTGTTTATCCAGTTGACATTTTGTAATTGAGATTTACTTGCTCATATTGCCATTTTCTTGGAATTTATTTTTGCATCTATATGCTAAGGAATCTGTATGTGTGTGTGTGTGTGTGTTGAACAACTACAAGTAGTATCCAGTTTAGTAAGTAAACACTTATTACATCAAGGTTTTCTGTTAATGCATAGCATTAATCACTTTTTTATCCATTCCCTTTCATATCTTCCCTTTTCTCTTATATTTTATTTTACAGATATGTATTATGAAATTAATTTAAATTCATTAACGAATAACAATCTCAATGTTCCTAGTAAAAGAAGAATTCAGAAAGAAAAACGTTTATACCCTTTAGATCATTTACAATATATCCATGCACGTCTTTGTATTATTGATTTCGGTGGCGTATTGAATTCCATGCATGAACAACAAATTCCTATGTCGCTTACATCAGTTGAATTATGTTTCGCTATTCGACATGCTATTGACACAACAATTAAAGATTTATTCGGTGAATTTTCTGGTTTACCAATATTACATTATGATTTGTTATTTTGTCGTTGTGAAGCTAATACTGGTGATGATACTAAACGTCAACATGTAACTAGTTCAACGAATACCCCCATCATAACATGGTCTGTAGTACTTGCTGTACCATACAACAATGTGGAAAAAATAATAGCAGCATTAAGTTTCATGACAAATGAATTAGGTGGTGTAGAATTAATCAGTAAATTATTTGAGTCAATGCATTTAGATTATAATTCATTAAAATTCTATGTAGATATTATATCTGTATCTGATTCATTATTCAATTTATCATGTATTCCTCTTTATAAATCATAAAGATTTAAATATTTCAATTACTATTTTATTTGGTAAATATGATTTATTTTATTCATTGAAATGGGAATAACAGTGTAGAATTAAATAATGAATATGACATGATAAAAAGCGGAATCAGTTTAAGCGTAGGCTGATGAAAAGCCGACTCAACGATTGTGAAACAGTGGTTGGTAGCGAAAGCAAGAGCGACGATGGAAAAGATGGCAGCAATAGGTGACAGAAGACAACTGTTCATAATTCTCAAGGAAATGAGAAATCCGATTATTAGTAAAACTCCCTCAAAAACCTACGAAACTATTATTCACTCTCAATGCCGGGGATTGGATCGATGGGCAGAACACTTTAGGGAGCAGTTCAAATGGCATTCGGCCGCACTTCGGTTACCCACGATCTCCATTCAACTTGAATGGCAAATTGATGTAAATCCTCCTATTCTTAATGAGATTGACAAAGCTATAGACAATCTAAGGCGAAGGAGAGCAGCTTCACATCTGAAATTGTTAAGGATGATTTTCCAGTCTCAGCAGTGAGATTTACTGATTTTGGTAACTGGATATAATCTCTTCTGACTTGGTCTCAATCACTGATTGTCCCGATCTACAAGAAAGAAAAAAGTCCTGTTGTGACAATCACAGAGGAAGCAGACTAACTAATATAGCGTCTAAAATGTTAGCCTCGATAATGCCAATGCCATAGTTCTATTTGGTGAAGACGCGTAAGAAATGCAGTGTTCTGATAACCTCAAGCAACAATGCAAGCATGTTCGGATGCGGTTTTCCTCCTTGAAATGCAAATTTTTGCTTCAAGATTGGCTGGCGTTGGCACCTGAACTGGTGAAGTAGTTCAGCCTGTTGGACGCTTCACTCCTGTTGGGGGTCTTATCAGTGCTAATGACCTGGTGTCTGATGAAATCTCAGCATGGATACAGAAGGCTCGACTGCCTTTGTCAACTTGCGTCACTTATGGCGTAGACGAGATAGCCGTCCGCTAAACAAAGGACTAGTGTACTGCTCAGCAGTTCGTTCCGTACCACATTACGAGTGCGAAACATGGCTATTAAGAATATATAATATTCGTAGGTTACTAGTATTCGATCATAGGTGTCTTCGAAGCACTGTTCATATATCCTGAGACCACTGAGTAGGTAATGGTGTTGTTAAGAAAAAGGTATTAGTTAAGGACAGTTGTGGTTGGGACATGTATTACGAATTTCCAACCATCGACTGCTTTGTCGAGCTAGGGGTAGGCTGGAAAGAAGCTAGGAGCGGCCAAACAAACACATGGCATCAGTCCATGAAGTTACCCACAACTGGAGCGAGTTTTGTTAATAGGTGTACATTACCTGGTTGGGGTCCACGAGTCAATAGTAACTAATGGTTAGAGACTCTGAATGATGTGGCTCAATATTGTTTGCAGTGGCATAGAGGCATCCATTCTTTGTGTTCTCTCAAATTCTAATCTTCTTAAGTTTACCTCAATGGATCGTACTTCTCGAATCATACTTGTGGACTATATATGTCACTGAACTGCAATTAAGTAAACTTTTAAGGCATTTCACTCACTGTGGAAATTTAATTTAACAGAAGATTGTGGTCATTAACCCTTGAAGAGTCTCGAACAATGCATTCTACTTCCTTTGACAAGAGCTATTTGCAAATTAAATAATAAAATTTTTGATGCCTGATAATTCATCATATGAATGAATGTTTCGTGATGTTTTATCGGTTAATAAGTAGTTGTTACTTGGGTAGCCAAATCTGAGCTGAGTGCCTAGCATTGCCGATAACATTGTGAAAACATCTAGCATATGAAAATTGCTTGTTATAGGTGAAAACGATGTTGGCAATGATTTCATACCTTATGCTTGAATAGTATACAGTTCATTCATGTAAATCTCCATCACAATGCGTCGAATCTTGTATCAATTCCAATTGTACGATAGAGATGTGACGATCGTTTTCTTGTTTCCTAATTCAAAATGGTTGTTTATGACCTGTTCACTCCTTGAATATAAATCAACTTTAAAATATGAGTTTTGACACTGTAAAGAAACACCCTCCCACGGTGTGAGCAGCCGGGAAGTGACAACCGCCCTCATAGCCGTGACAGCACACGAGATCAAACTGGTCACAATCAAATTCTTCCGAAGAATAAGACAGTTAAACATTACATAACCAGCAAATTGGTCAAAGCAAAAATGATGTTTATTGAAATACCATACTTAGGTAGGAATACAAGCAAAGCCGATTTCACTCAATAAAATTAGTCAATTCATTTTTTCCGAATAATACAGTAAAACACCAAGTTTACCGTTAAGCTGTTTTCAGCCATGTGTCTACTAGTGTTTTAAGCTGCTGAGATGTGAAATTTTGAAAACCCTATCAAACTATGCATGATGACTTTACTATTGATAAGCCAATACAACTGATCTCTTTTTCATGGTGTTATACTTTACACTGATCGTCTATCCGTTTTTAATGTTTCTACATGTACACAATGAAACGTGAAAAAAAATGTGGACTTATTGTGTGAACATTAAATAGATAAAAATCAAAACCAGTCTGTTGAAATTTCATTGTATTTTGATGATCAACTGTAATGAAAGACGTCAGCAAATTCTAGTTTGAATGTCGTCAAAAGTAAATATGCAATTTATCACATTTGTTTATGCTACACTTTTATCATATTTTTCGGAACAATCCCTAGTTATATGACTAAAATATTTATAGAAGAATACATACTAGTATTTTTAATACTAATGAATTTGTTGGTAAGTAAAGTTTCTACTTGAGATTGACTTGAAAAGAGCCTGCATAACCATCTTGTCACTCTTTTCACTTCATTATATCACATAAACTGTGTTCACTTAAAAGACATAAAGGTAGACTCAATCATGTATCTTATGTTAACCTGTGGTATTAAGCATCACAAAGGAGAAGTACTATGGTTGATTCTTACCATTTGTTCCGTGTTTGAAAAAAAACAGTTTGATTTTTCTTCATGAATTTCTGGCAGTTATTAACATTTTTAATTGAAGTAGCGGTTTTAGTTGACGAGCCGTATTGAAAACCATACTGCAGCTAAGATAATTACAATGCAAAAGCATTGTCATCTCAGTTGACTTTGTTTAGCAAGTATATTCCCTACACAGGTTAAATCTATTTGATTGCTGTGTTAAGTGTTGGGTAACAAGGTTCTTATGTTATCCGGTTAAATTATTGTTAGTTTGGAAATTGTTGCTTGGAATCTATCGTATGAACAGAGTTGACTGATATTCTTTTCACCTGTTTGAAGTGTACACTGGCTAAGAAATAGTCCGAGATATATAGAGAGAGGTTCAGTGTTATTTGTTTAGGATATTCATCAAATCTTCTGATGTTTTCCGAAGCTTATTTGTTTGTTTTTTCTGCTGAAGAATTGTGTGAAAAGATTATCGAAACATCTTTCGCTGTAAATGTCATCAATATGTTGGTTCTGTAATCTGTTGAGTTGTTTAATCAGTTTATCTAGATAAAGTTGAACTAGTTTCATTTACGGCTAAGGTACTAATGTCTCAGTCTTTTACAGTAATAACAGATCTAACGTACATCACTTCATCTTTGAGAACATTAGTATGAACCAGATTATCAGCCTAAAGCACTACATTAGTATTTTGCTAACATACGATAACTATGATCACTCTTGTAAAGGGAAATGAGATAATTTATTCTATATGCGTAATCTTTATGAAATAGTATGAAATTTAAATTCTAAGATTGGTGTTCAGTTCAGTAAAGACTTACAATTTTGTTGTTCTGAATATAACTGCTTGTAATACTTCATTTTGAAGGACTAATTTCTGATGTCTCTCGACTTCGAAAATTAAATAACCTTGATCTAACGAACGTTCAGTGAGTACATGAATCAATTATTTAATATATATAAACAGATTTTATTGTACAAACAGTTCGATAATTAGTTTCTCCAAACTACCAGAGCAACCCCATAGGAAAACGGTAAATGCTCGGAGTATCAATAAGGAAATCCACGTACCAGTTTTTGTGTAATAAAGAAATATTTTACTCATAGTCTGAGCTAATTAGTAGTGAAATGTACTACTTTTATTGATTTGATCTGTAGACATTTTGCTGACTCAACTAGATAAAGGAATGCAAATTGTCTTGCTACTTATAATCGTCTAGAGATGTCTATTCGAAAGTCACCTCATGCAGCAAATCTCTTAAAGTACTATCATACCTGAGTTATAAGTTTTCATATCGAATTTTATGTTTATACTAGTCTACGTCTGCTGTAGGGTTTTGTGTGTAGGTTGTTCATTGAGGCTAATTTTTCGCCGTAACCTAGACCATCCTTCAGAACTGGCTAAAGAAACACAATAAATTAAGCTTTCTATTGTCCTACATACAGCAGATGCACAACGTTCATCATTTTCAAATTTCACTTAAAGATCAGGAGAGGTCTTCAGCGGATTGATTTAAAGAGAATGTATGAGAATTTTTTTTTCAAAACTGTTCAATTTGCAAATATACACACATAGAATTCATTGATGTTTTCTTTGCTAATCATTCATTAGAGAAAGAAATGTAAACACATACTAATGAGACGAAGAAGTGAACATTTGCATCGCATACTACAGCGAAATGATTAATTCACAAAATTACTATTCATTTGATTGTATAACTCAATCAATAAATTTGTCATTTCGATTCGCAAATGATTATTGTTATTATTTGTTCTACTTGTTCCTACTGTTCCCTGATTCCTTGTTGGCGACACTCTAAACATATATAACCTCTAGTTTATTTATGTGAATGTTTCACACATATTCAGTTTAATCAATCAATTCACAAAGTCAAAAGCTTGAAATTCATGTGTGAATACGTAGGTTTTTCATTGTTTGCTTCTTTCAATACTTTTGTGAGTGTGTGTGTGTGCGCGCGGGTAATTGTTTGTTCCTCTCTAGCCACCAATCTAAGGACGACTACTTTATATACTGCTTTATTAGAAAATACGTTTCTCAAGGAATTA